GGGCCGGGGGGGGGTGGGCCCCCCCGGTTTCAAAAACCTTGCGGGGGGGGGGGGGGAAATCCCCCCCCCCCCCGCCTTTGGGGGTGAAAAATGGTTTTTTTTTTTTTGTGGGGGTGGGTGGAAAAATTAGGCCCCTTTTTGGGGTTTGGCCCACCTCCCTTGCCTTTTTTCCCTTTGGGTAGGTTACGCGGTTTAGGGGCCCAAATTCGGGGCCCAACCAATTTTCCGGTTTATGTCTTTTTATTTTGTTACCCCTTTTGTTTTTTGGATTTTCTGGCGGCTGTGGTTTGTTTTTTAATTTTTACCCTCTTTTTTCCCTTTTTAGGATTGGCCCCCCCCGGGGGGGTTTTGGGAGAAACAGCCTTGAAAAAGGGGGGCCCATTGGGGGGGGTTTTTTTTTGGGGTTTTTAGCCCAATAGAGGAGGGATGGGGTACCCCCAGTTTGGGAAGGGAGAGAGTTTTTGAAGGGAAAAATTAGGGGGGGGGGGGGGGGGGGGGGCGATTTTGATGGTGGTAGTGTAGTTTGGATTCGAGAGAGTGACTTTGCCCTTGTTGTGCACGCAAGAACCGTGTGTGGATAGCAGCGCCGGAAAGGTGCAACAGCCGTGCCAGGGTCTGATGTGTTTGGCAGCGGCGAACAACACATGCCACAGCACCGGTATCATCCGCTGGTAGACCTTGCCTGGCGGCCGGGGGCGGCGAGTCTTTGTATGCTGAGAGGTCCGTCCTGGTCATGAACGGTAGTATGCATATAGTGCGCTATTAGCGGAGAGTAGCTATAAAAAGTTTTATATGATCCCTGTTTTGTCCTTGTCTCTTATTCCTTGTGGCGCGAATCTGCCTGCTGCCAGCTGTGAAAGAAAGTGGAAACCCTGTGGTGGCATGCCTGGTGTTGGGGGGGGGGGGGGGGGGGGGAAGTTCCCCTAACCGCCCAAAAACGCCCGGTCCCTTTTTCCAAAAAACGCGGGGGGGGGACCCACTTGTTCCTGGCCCCAAACCTGGATTTTGGGGGATAAGGGCCTTTTGGTTTCTTTCCGTTTTTTTACCCACAGGAGGAAAAAAGAGGGGGGCCGCCAAATCACAACGGGCAGGGGAATTCATCCGGGTAAAAAAAAGAACCCGCTCCCCCTGCGTTCCGGGGGACAAGGAAACCAACCCCCCCCGAATGGTGTGTCTGCCTGGCCCAACCAAGGCCCGAAAGAAATTTCCCCGAAGGGGGAAAAGGGAAAACATGGGGAAAAAAAATTAAGGGCCCCCCGCGCCCATTTAAACCCAGTTGCTCCCCGGCCCCCTGCCAAAACGGGGTTGGTGATTGAATGGCGTTTTTCCGGCCCACAGGAGGAAAAAAGGACCTTTTTCGGGAAGGCCCCCCCCCCACCCCCAGGACCAAATTAGAGTGAACAAGCCAACCCCAAAAAAACCC